AGAACGTCGAATCTGAATCACTTGAAAAAAACACGGGGGTGCTTAACTTTTTTCCAGGTGTATAGTTTATGTAGGCATTATTATCATTCCTGAAAATTCATTCTTGTTTCTTTATATCTGTTTGAAAGGTGCACATATGTTTTTCGTATGACAAGACATCAGGTAAGCTTTGTTAGGTCTAGTGACTACAGGAAGAGTTGAAAAAATATTTTTATGACTCAAGCTGTTATTTATGGAGTGTTGTTGTTAAGTTTACTGTATTCAAACAATGCACAAACACAAAACATAACTTACTATCCATTGAAAATAAACAATATATATTGGAGATATATATATATATATTGGCAATAGTAATGTCATTTTGAAATGTTATGCCCTATTCTACCAGTAAATCTTTTTTTGGTTTATTGTAGTTTATAGCCAGAAGTAGTGATTACTGTAAAATAGTAAAACAATATATTAAAAGAACTATGACAGTGAATATTAATCAAGTTAATATTGACTGGATATTATAAAATTGAACTTCCTGATTAACAGTAAAAAAAGAAAAATTAAAAACATTTTATTACTAAATTTTGGAAGATTCGCAACCTTAAAAAATGATATAAATATTATATCAGATTTTATGAATTTTTAAAAGCCACTGTTTAGTAAGTTTGTTTTAAGTTTTATATAAGTTAGTTAAATATATTTATTATGAAGTTGAAAAAAATAAACTGAGGAATATCAGTGATGCCCAGCTTGTACAGAAAGGGTTAAATTTCAGTATCACAGAAGGAAGATACAAAAAAAGGTTAACGAGTAGACAAAGAATAAGAATTATTGAAGGATAATGTAGTATAAAGTCTGTCCATATGTAAGGTGCACAGTGCTGAGTGTGGTAAATAGTAAAAAAAATTTGAATATGCAAATCAGTAAGTTATGTGACAACCACAGCCAGTGTAAAGTTGTAGTGGAACTATAACAACCACAGCTAGTTTAAGATCGACTATGATTGGTTGGCATTTCATTGGTAGTATGATTGCACTCAAAACTTGTTGCTTATGGGAAGGGTACATAATATCCTATTCAAAAAATAGCATAACGTTTTGGGACAACATGGGACCTCTCGGTCCATCACGGCTGTTCCATCTTCTAAACTAAACTAAAAACTATTAATAAATGAATTTAAAAAAATTCTTAAAGCCAGCCCTTATCATTCATATACTTATCAAGCTTTCTCTTAAACTCACTTGAATTAACTGCCTCCACAACAACCAAAGGCAACCCATTCCAAAGACCAACCACTATGTTATAAAAGTAAAACTGTCTTAACTGAAAATGACT